GCGCCACGCACGCCACCCCCTTCGCCGCCGCGCCCTTTGGACTCGCCCGCACGGGCGTACGCAGGCACGCACGTCCTCGGCTGCCCTCGGCGGCCCCCGCCCACCCGAGACGGAGACCCGGGGATCCCGTGGGGTGCGTGGTGGAGGCTTGCGGGCGCGGGTCTTGGGGGGCTGGGGCCAGCCGCCCCGCCAGAAAGAGCCAATCGCAGGCCTCACAGGTGTGCCAGCCAGCGTGCAGGCCTCCCTGTGCTCCGCCAGCATGCTGTTTACTGACTAACCGGGCGCCAGACCCCGGGCGCTCGAAACTCAGTGCCACACCTGTGGGGAGCTTTCGTTTTCATCGACTTAGTCACGGGGTTGGGGCAGGGCGTGGGCACCGGGAAAGCATAGATCCGCGGGGGTGGTTAACCTTAGGAGCCCGCTCACCGGGGCCACAGTTTCCACGAGACTGTTCCAGCGGTCCCTGGAAAGTAGTTTTCAGATGACGTGGACATCCCCACCGGGGCAAGAGGTCGTCGTCACCCACGAAATGTGGGCCGGACTCGGTCATTCTGTTGGCGGTCGTAAGAGGAGAGGAAAGAGCCCTCAGGAAGGAGGGCACTGCCAGCCATGGCCTTCGGACTCCAGCTGCAGCCTCAGCTCCCTGCCGGGTCTCCATTCCAGGGTCCTGCCCTGGAGATTGCTGACCCGCCAGAACAGCCCCAGGAGACAATTCCTTAAAATTCTTTATATGTATGTGAAACATGCATGTATTATATATACACTAAAATAAGCACGTGTATGCAAGTGTGTATGTGTTTGTTATGTGTGTATGTACTGTGTAAATAGACAACTTGAAGTTATATGTGTGCTTGTGTGTATACGCCTGTATATTTAGATTGCATGTATGTATTTATATAGTCTGTGTCGTGTATGATGTGTGTTACACGTGTGTACATTTGCAAGCGTATAGCTACATAGTACACGTGTGTGTGCTGTATATGTTATATACACGGCTATATATTTTTATATATAGGTGTGTGTATAGTATGTGTGTGTGTTGGAACTACATGTGTGTGCACATAACCTATGACTGTTTGGTGTGTGTTATATCATGTTCTAGATTTATATCTACACATATGTAATTGTTAATGTCCATTTTGTGCATGTGTGATAGACGTGTGTGTACAGTGTGTATATTGTAGGCATGTGTACATGTGTAGGTATGTTTTGTGTCGTGTGTGTATACCTGTGTTTGTTGTATGTATTATGTGTGTGTGTGTTACAAATGCCCATATCTTTGCATAGGTGTGTATAGGTGCATATTGTACACACGTGTGTATTGTATAGATGTATCTACTCTATGTATACCTCTATCTTTGTGTGTATATACATGTACATAAAAAATACTCCAGGGGCCTCCCTGATGGTGCAAGGGGTTAAGTCACAGCAGTATGGAGCTGTGTCAGCCACTGCAGCCCAAGTTCCCCGCCCAGCCAGGGAGTTGACCCATGTGGCACAGCAGACCAATCTGGTCTCCTTGCTGGTCCTCTCAGCAGTATACTTAAAATAGATACTAATTTAGCTTGATATATCCAGAATCTGATCACTGAAGCCTGTAATCAGTTATAGAGGTTGTTATTGGGAAGTTATTATTTCTTTCAGATTGGGTGTGTATTTTCCACTGAGGGTTCATTACACTTGGATGCCAAATTTTCATTGGAAATGCTTATTTTAAAGAAATAACAGAGTTGCGGCCTCCCTGGTGGCACAAGGAGTTAAGTCTCAGTGAAGCTTATCAGCAGCTTGAGCCTCCCCAGGCAGGGAGTGACCCCCAGGGCGCAGCAGACCCTTCATGTCTTTCTTCTACTCCCCTCAGTGGTGTGTTTCAGCGGATCTGCCTGTTTTGCTCCTCACTCTGTCTCTAGTGAATCTTCTCACCCCTGCGCCTCTGACCTGTACCCCAGTTCTTTGTGTGCATAAATAAATAAATCTTTTTTAAAAATCCTCCTATATGGAGCCAGTTCAAATCTATGTGTCCAGGGGTCAAGGGTCCTGAGTAGGACTGAGGGCCTGGGCACCACACAGCCTCACTTGATACTTTCACGGTCCCCTTCTTTGCCTATCAGTTTCCTACAACTGCTAAACAGGTTCCCACTTACTGGGGACTTAGTACAAACAAGATTATCATCATGGTCCTGATGTCTTTTTTGGAATTGGGGGGTTCTTGCATTCACTCTGGGAAAGGTTTCACCAGAGCTCCCCTTTCAGCGACATGTAGTGAGATCCCCAGGCAAGTTTCTCAATGAGACAGAGATTCAGTTATATTTAAAGAGCCAGTTTATTAGGGGAAAAGAGGAGTAAAGGGTTCTTGCATAAGCTCAAGCGGGCAGGAAGTGTAAGTGGGTGGTCCCTAGGAGAAGGGAAGTTCCAGGTTCCCTGCCCCACCCAGAAGGAGGGTGGAGCTGAGCAGAGAAAAAGGAGAGAGAAAAGAAGAGAGATGGAGAGGCAGATGGAGAAGGAGACCTAAGGAAGCCACATGGAGCAGCAAACATGTGATGAAGAAACCGGGCTTGTTTCCTGACACTGGACTGGTTAAGGCAGATGTGGGTGAGATACCTGTAGGGAGGTGACTATGGCAGTGTTTATATTGATTTTGATTTTGCTCTTTTCCTCTCAGATTTGTCTGGCCATTTCTGACCCTTTTCCATGGGTCCCAGCCAGAAGGTGCTTTAGTCTTGTGGCAGGCTTTCAGGCCTTGCTTTGGGCCAATCCCTTTTGGGTTGACTTTTGCCCACGAGGGGATGGGTAACTTCAGGTGTTTGATTTAGAAGTTACATTCTTTGTATTCCATATTGTATATACTTTGTATTAAAGTCACTTTTCATTAAAGCTTTATATGTTTTGTCTCGTTGCGGCGGATGGCAGAACCCACTTAGAGCAGGCAGGTTTTGGGGTTTCAGGGGTGCCTCTCTCTGAATTGAGGTGCCCTATAACAGATTTGCTGCCCTATAACAGAAGAGCTGCCCCAAAAGGGACAGGCTTGTTGAGAGGCCTCCCCGGCTGCGGGCGGCCTTAGGAGAGCGGCCTCCGCTGAGGGAGGTCAGTGCAGAGCAGCTCCGGCAGGTGCAGGTCACAGGCAGGAAGGAGGCCGCTGTCCGCAGAGGGAGAGGGTGGAAAGGACCTGCCTAGGCACAGGTGGCAGGACCGCTGCCCCGGCCGGCCGGTGCAGAGACTGCCCTGAAGTAGACAGTTCTCTCTGGGAGGGGCTCACTCCTTGTGGCCTGTTTGCTGCTGATTTTGGATAACTCTGGAATCTCACAATGGCCCAATCTCTGTATCTTTACCCTCAGGTCTGTGCTCCAATATTCCCTACAGCTGTCTGATAGAGGAGTCCATGACTGGTGAATAGTCAAGTTAGTTCCTTCTGACCCCACAGGTTTTAACCTTGTGATGTCTTTTTCTATTCTTTCCCTCCATCAGTCCAGAGCTCAGAAATCTCTTCTGGGTGCCAAGAGGGAGTCAAGATAAATTTTGCTGGGGGGTGCCCAGGCCCAAGATTATTCCTAGGTGTGCCTGGGAGGGAGTCAGAGGATGAGATTAGCATCTGAATCAGTAGTTTAGTAAAGCAGAAGCCACTCCCCAAAGGGAGGGCCTGATATGAAGGAGGAAAAAATAGAAAAAGGACTGCACAAGATTCACCCTGGTGGGGGAGGGATTAACAGCCACTCACCCGCTATCGAACTATCAGCCTGCTGTCCGTCCCGAGTGTCGGAGCACAGACCCAAGGTGAAGATACTGAGATTAGGAACACCACATCCACCCACAAAGATGAGCCCTTCCCTACCGAAAGAGGATGATGAAACCCAACACTGCCCCACAAAGGGCCGCTCTCTGCCAGCTTGTGCCTATGCAAGTGTCCTTCACTCTTTTGTCCCTTTCTATAATAATCCTACTCTTTAAATGTGACATCTCTGTCTTGTGGAGAAACTCGCCTGGGAACACATCCTGTGCCACTTGAAGGGAAGTTCTGGGGAAACTTTTCCCAGAGTGAACCCCAGGAGCCCACTCTCCAAACCTACTAACTCCAAAAAACGACATCAAACAGAACAAATGGCAGAGAAGGAATGGTTCACCCCCTTTTTCCTGTTTTGTTTTTTTTTTTAAAGATTTATTTATCCATACAGAACTGGGGTACAGGCCAGAGATGCGGAGGGTGAGAGGATTCACCAGAGACAGAGCAGGGAGCAGAACAGGCAGATAGATGAAGTACACTGCTGAGGGGAGCAGCGGGCGGGTCAGGAGAGGTCTGCTGCGCCCTGTGGATCTCTTCCGGGGCAGGCGGGGATCGAACTCATTCGGAAGTGACTTTAGCTTTAACCTACTAAGCCACCAGGGAGGGCCCCAGGCCAGAGTTTGTAAGGGGTGAGAGGATCCACCAGAGACAGAGCGGGGAGCAGTACAGGTGGATCCACTGAAATACACTGCTGAGGGGAGCTGCGGGCGGGCCAGGAGAGGTCTGCTGCGCCCTGTGGGTCAGCTCTCTGATGGGGGATCTCACTCACACTACAGTGGCTGCAGAGGGCTTCGTAGTGCTGTCTTAGCCCCTGGTGCCACAGGGGTTAAGACACCCCCCATTATCATTGTCAA